TTATTAAACCTCTTCAACCTTAACAAGGTCTGGTTCTTATATGTATAACGTCCATGATGGTGCCAATATTAGTCATACAAAAGGTATGTCATTTCAGGAAATGTCGACACTTCAACTATTATGTCAATAAGACCACACATGTACAGTATAAACATTTAGTATTATTATACTGTATTGCAACGAGTATTATACTTGATTGTACAAGCAATTACCCTTCGGGCATAATTTTGCAAATAAAGTTTCAATTATGATCGTCGATACAAATGTTACAAATGTTGAGATGACACTATCATTCAAGTATTATACAATATCGTACACATCATATTATCCGGTTCATATTTACAGATTGTTTCTAGGCATATGATTTGTATACATCGAATTAGAATCATATTCAACGTTAAAATCTACTAGTATATATATACATTAGGCCACACCAAGTAAATTTTATGGATGACGTCCGCGCGCGCATTGATTTTGGCCTGTTCCTAGAAAAAAACCAAGAAATTCCGCTTCCTGTAACTATGACCAAAGAGTCATGACAGTGCCGCAAATCATCAGATTGACGTGAAACCCGTAACGCGAAAACAGGACAGGACGACAACTGCTGTTCCACCTGATTTATTGCTGTTTTGATGATGAATAAAAGACTTCTTGCTTGTTACACTGTGTCACCTCATTCAATTTGTGTCCTAACATTAGTAACATTTGTCGTCTCTTAGTATATTTCTAATCTAGGCATCTTGTTTTTTAGGGCCCTTCTTGTTTTTTTTGCCCTCTCGCATTAGATTTAGGGTCTCCAAAGGACGTCATCCATAAAATGTACTTGGTGTGGCCTTACTATGACAGTATTTCACAATACCAACATCACAGTCAACAGTTGTCAACTCTTCAGAAACGTACGCATTTTATCTCTGTGCTTGTATGTAACATTTCTTTGGGAATGTCTATCGCAAATCATCTAAAAGTGCCATAGTGACTATACGTGGAACACTTTGCCTTGTGCGTCGATGAAGGTTAGACATCCAGGTAATACGATACGCCAAAAAGCAGTTACTCAAGCAACTGGATATGATTTTGAAAACGTCAGACGTTTCAGCTAGTATCCACTAGCTTTCGTCAGTGACTGAGAGACCAGAGGGGAAATGCAGGTTTATAAGCACAAACTATTGATTGATATGCAAATAAAGTGAAGACAAATTTTTGGAAGTCGAAAAAAAGAACAAAAGTCAAGACAAGATAATGCCTTAAAGAACTTTGCCTTGTGATATGTCATACTCAAATCATCAGTATAATATATTCTGTTAGGCACACATGGCGAGATAGAGGTTACATGGCCTTGTAGGGAATACATGGATCATAACACGAACAGTGACGTTCAATGTTTATGTTTACCTTCGCACAATGAAGGCATACTAGTACTGTTTGCTCAGTTTCTTCTTCTTCTCCATACAAATAAGGTCAATGACCTGGACCAGACACCATGGTGTGGTGTTGGGTTACATTATGTAGCAATTAATCCGAAAGGATTGGAGGGGCTGGTCACCAAAATAAGAAAGCGTTTAAGAATACACAGAGCAGTAGTTCGTTAGGCCGGACCATGTACATGTGAAGGTAAAGATTATGTGTTTGCATTGCAAATGTTATTTTTCTAGTTACAGAGTGTATTCCTCAGGAGCACGAAGCCATTTCTTACAAATTATACACATGTAACAGTTATGCACATACAAGATAATGATATTACAAGGGTAATCTATATGAGATCTTGCTGGACTATATTCATGACGATTATCATTGATCAGATCCATACGGTCTGCCTGTAGAGAGCCCCTTGAAGCTAATTATAGTCCTTAGTCAGATTGTTACATGATGTAACGTACTGTACATGGAACACAGTACAACAGATAAACCCGCCATATCAATTGAGGAATCATAACTTCACAGGCATAGCACACAATGGCACGTTTAGGCAGGGTTCGTTGTCCATAGGTCCATTGGTTATAGGTAGTGTATTGCAGATTCAGCCGATCCCGCGTTCGAATCCCAGTTGTTGTCGCATATATATATAACCGAACCGACTTGCACTCAAAGCTGTGCATACCTTGGGGGGGAATACTGCATTATAGATCTGGTAAACACAATATATGAATTTTTCAAAGCGATAGACATGATGACTATTCATTACACAGCAGCAACATTTGTTTTCAATATGAAGATAAGATTGATATCCAGTATGCTATGTCTCTTGCATCATGTCCAAAATATGTGAAAAGCTTCTTTACTGACTTGTGTTACAAGAAGAAGAATCAAAATTCAGTGATGTAAGATATAATTTTTTACAGTACCAGGCTTTCAATATGGCCTAGAATATATTTTTTTCAATCTGGTCTCTGACATTGTATTACTTTTGTCTTCAATATATTTGTAAATAAAAGCATGTTTCTGACTACAGTCATGTGTTTGTTTCACGTACAATTTTTCCATTGGTACTTCCAGATAAGGAACCGCATTTATACCGATGACCAACTTAACAAGGCTACGATGTTTAAGGTTTGTATTGTCCTTAATAAATACAGATCACATATCTCTAGTCTCTACCTGATTAACTACGCTGGCTATATATATATAGGAGAATATTTGCTGTGGGAGTTTGGCCGCCTTGCATGGGGTTTGACTTCAGAGGGAAAGAAACTACCTCCCCGCGGCCGGACTCCCTTGGCCCATTTGACTCTCTTTTTTGTCGAATTCTACGATCCGTATTCCCGTAGAAAGGCCTGGTGGAAGCTGTATTTTTCCTGACAAATTGCAAATGCTATGTACATCATATTTCCCATTATGAACATAACATAATTGTGATGCGAACTTTCAGAACGATCCCTTTCATTCACACTAGGCGGCAAGGAAAATACATTATGTTAATTCTACAAACATCAGTTATCATTTTTTTCACGATCTAAAATTTTTACAATTGTATTGACACCACCAGTATTGCTCGGTTGATATGCTAGTTACTATTCCATATTTGATTGTCATTAATTTATATACAGTTACAACATATCGTCATAACCAGGAAGGGGTATTGTGGCTGTATGTTTTGTAAAAGATTCAATCTTCTAGTTTTATGGTATAATGGTATTTTTTTTCTTTGATAAGGCCACACCGATTTAATTTTATGGATGACATCCTCTGAAGACCCCCAAACTAGTGCGCGCGGGCGAAAAAAATAAAAATCCGGCCAAAAATAAAAATGCTACAAAACCACAGGAATACAAACCTGGTAGTGTGAATTTGGCGCATTACATAGCGACGTATACGACAGGCCGACACATGCTGGATTTTTGCGGAATATATGAATCGACACTGCTGTACGTATGTACTGAGTTCTTGAGTCTTGGAGCTTCGGTAGCCTGGGTGCCGTCAACCAGAGTTATCACCACCATGCACTACCCAGGCCTAAAGCCAGGCCAGAGCCTCGGAATACGTGATTCTTTTTTTTTTTTTTTTTTGAGATCGGGCGAATATCAATGCGCGCGCGGATGTCATCCATAAGATTAAATCGGTGTGGCCTAACCAAAAATACTGGAATAATTCATAAAGTTGTTGTAAATACTGCTCATACATGAAATGGTGAGAAGTCTTGGTTTCCTCCTTCCTGATTTCCATCCTTAGAAAATTGCTGCACTTATCATAATATTCAAGAAAAGTGTTGCTAGAATTAGCAATTGGAGCAACAGTCTCTACAGGTGTACAGTTTATCGTGGTTGGGTCAGACTATCTTCGGGGCTCTAATAATTTCCCCCCGCCCAGCTCAACAGACCGCCCGGTAGGATTGTAACTTACGCCTGTGATAGAGTTTGGCACGCCGGGAGTTGATTTAGCGTGGTGGGGATAATCAAACCGCCGTGGAAAGCCTACCGGGGAACCTAGCTCAGGCGGGCGGGGAAGAGCTTCAGCAGCCCGGAAGAAAACCAGCCCCAGCCGCGATAGACTGGACACTTATTATTAACTACAGCCTGGATGCTATCCCGGGAACAGCCATTCTAAAGGCACACTAAAAACTAAGGAGACTAGCATCCTGGCCATAATTGCCTCACAGGGCTGTGCAATTTTGTTCGACGTCAAAATTCTTACTTCAGGGGCAAACATTTCCAAGCAGATACAGGGTGGTAACATACATGCACATTTCCAATATCTAGTATGTATGTACACTTGCATGTATGCAAGTTTGTCTGATTTTGAAGTCTGTAGCATGGACAAGAATGAAACATTTTCTATCATTCATCACGATTTTTGCAAAGATGAATGTGATTTTGTTTTTCGTGTGTTTCTTATGCTTAACATTGGATGTCATTATAAGAGCCTTGAAGACATTAACTTTCGTTTTTGTGCAATGCCTACTGTTTTCAATGACCATTAAATATATGTTAATCCGATTTTACTATGTTTTAAAAGAACAAAGAAAAAAGCGAAAGTCAAACAAATAAAGACTACAATGTCTTACTTGGAAACTCACATGATTTAAGAAATTTCTTCGTCAATTATGCAAATTATGCTCCCGATTTGTATCATTTGCAACTAATTATGTGAATGACGCTTTTTAAGTTACTCTTCGCATGTCTTCTTCAAAGTTTTAAAGTAAACTAAAATAAGTACCAACATACCAAATATCGTCACGATCAATCCACAACTTCTTGAGTAATTACGTTGCTCTGGCTGTGTCGCGAAATATCATTACAGATTGTAGGTGTTTTTCTATAAGAAATAATGTTATGCTATACATGTACGTTTTCTTAAATTTGATTCTCACCACGAGGGAAAAGGTTAGCATTTGAGTTGACAACTTTCAGTCAAAGCTGATTGACAGAAATGTGACGCATTTTAGGGGGTGGGTAATCTGGTAATTATAGTCAAATTTCAACTTTGGGCGAATATGGTTGTCCAAATGTACAATAAACAATAGAAGATGTCGGGAAGAATTTCGTGTCAATTCCTTCCTTCTGTACTCACTGAATCTGACAGTTAGCGGACGCCGGTTCATAGCTGTTTGTCTCGGGGTTTTCTGGGGTGTTGTTTACTGCCTCTCTGCGGTCATTCTGGCAGTAGGTACCTGCCCGAGACCCGCCAGCACCGGCCGCAGGGGAGGGACAGACGTACCTGTTTGCCCCACCGGTGGCGGGCGCGGCCTGGCTAGGATGGTTTTCATCATACATGGCGGACTGAGTACCGGTCTCACCACCAGGCGAGGCGGCGGGCTGGTAGGTATTGGCCGCGGGGGACGCTGCGGAGTTGCAGACTTCCTCGCTAGGGTCATGCTGGTCATATGTGTTGGACAGGGTACGCTTTAGGTCAGTGGCCAGGGCAGGGGAGTTGTAGCAAGGTGCCTTGCGGGCACGCTGGGCGGCGCTGGCATTCTGTTGGTAGGCAGAGGACTTGGTAGTACCCGGGTTGGGGAGAATGGAGGGGTGCTTGTAGCAGCTTTGGTCGGACTTGTCGCGAACGTTTTGGTCATAGGCAGCCAGGACGGCCCCTGCCCTGTTTGGTTTCTGACGGGGGCGCTCGGTGCTGTACGGGCGGGACGGCACGGGGTGTGTGTGCGCGCGGGGGCAGTACGCTTGGCACAGCTTCGCCAGCCCGTACGGGGCGATTTCTGACTGCGAAGATTCGGCCCTGCGCAAATCAGGATGGTCATTGAAACCACCCTCAGCGTAAGGGCTGATGACAGACTCTGAATCATTCAAGCTGTCGTGATCCTCCAAACGCCCCTCAGCGTACGGACTGATCACTGACTCCTCCGAGTTGCCACCTGGAAGGGGCCACATGGAGCAGGCAGCGATCTGGTTGTCATTGCGGGATGGACCTGCGCCGTTATCAGGGGCATTGCGCTTGAGCTTCTGCTTGATACAGCTGGCCATGGCACATCCCCAAACCCCTAACGCAGCAGCCGACAACCCGCCCAGAGCTGCCCACACGATGTACCACGTGAGGTCTGCATCATTGCTCGTGCTAGTAGCTGGCGATATAGTGCTGATGCCACTGGATAGTGGTGTAGTGTTGATGCCACTGGATAGTGGTGTAGTGTTGATGCCACTGGATAGTGGTGTAGTGCTGATGCTGACTGAGAATGGTGTTGTGTTGAGGAGTGTCAGCTCGGTTGCTTGTAGAAACTGAAACTGAAACTGAAACTGTTTTATTCACATTGATTGGCAGCCAATATTCATTGCTTGGCTGAATTGCACAAGTGATTACATGTTAAAATAGCTTGAAAGAGATACACATTAAAAAGCACAACATTGACGATTAAAATTAAATAGATTTAAAATTTTGTAGGTCAGGTCCATTAAAACAGAGGCGGACTATTTACACATCTTGATTGCTGAGGCTTATTGCCTGACACAGAAAAGATTTCCTCAGTCTTTCAGTTCTGAACTTTGGTATGGAGATGTGGTTTCCATTTCTCAGGGACCGCCGTGTGCTCTGGTGTCTGTCGCAGGGCATCAAAGAATGCAAAGGGTGGCTGACATGCCGCATTTGCTTGAGCAGAGTTTTTGCTGCAGTTTCCCGTCTGTCCTGGAGGGTGGAGAAGGGGGTTGTTTGAGTGCTGTTGCCGTAAATGATTCTCGCCGCCCTTCTCTGTACAGCCTCAAGAGTGTTGTTCTGTTTTGTGTTACAGCCCACGTACACGACATTTGCATACTCTAACACAGGTCGTATCAGAGTCGTATACACAGTTTCCAGGTCCTCTGGTGGCATCCCGCCCTTCTTGAGCATGCGGAGAAAGTGAAGACGAGTTGAGCCTTTCTTTGCCATGTGTAAGATTTGGCTGTCCCACCCAAGGCTGCGGTGAAGTTTGAAGCCCAGATACGTGGCACATTCAACAACCGGGACTTCTTTGCCTCCAAGTGTGAGGGGAGGTGGAACAGGTGGATGTTTTGAAAAGCACAGTCTCAACTCATAGGACTTATCCCCGTTCATAATCATATTGTTCTTGTTCGCCCAGGTGTCAAGTTGCGTAGCTTCCTCTTGCATAGTTGTGTCGCTTTCAACAGTGTCACATGTGAACGTTCTGGACAGTCCGATGTCGTCTGCATAACCGATGTTGCTGGTTGTTTGGTGCACAGTTTCTCTTGACGACATGTACACAAGGAACAGGTACGGAGAAAGCACTCCCCCTTGTGGCACTCCTGATGTGACGACGTTCCAGTTGCTCTGCTGGTTGTTGGCGACTACGCGTTGTTTTCGGCCAGTGAGGTAGCTGTGTATCCAGCCAAGCATCTTAGGTGGGGTGTCACGGACAGCTAGGAGTTGGAGAAGGATTCCGTGATCAACTCTGTCGAATGCTTTAGACATATCTGCCAGCAGCACGCGAGCCATGGATGTGTCTCTGTTTTCCAAGTTCGATAGCCATGTCTGATAGGCTTTTACAAGTGCGAGAGTTGTAGAACATTTGGGCATGTACGCGTACTGGTCCTGTCGTGTTGTAGTGTTGTCATGTCAGAGTGTGATCGCGCGCTCGTCGCGAAGACGACAGTGTCGGATCCAGTCTCCGAAGAAGCCGTACAAGTGGTGTTCCCAAAGGACAAGGGCTCGGAGGTCACAAGCCAAAGGGTGAAGCTGGACTTTCCCATGTAATCAAAACACAGGCTGTGATTTCCTGTTTCCCCGAACAGGATTTCTGGCCCCTTACATTTCACCCAGCCCTCAGCCTTTAGGTCGGTCACCACTCTCACGGTTAGGTTGCCTGTCGGCAGACTGTCGTGTGTGGTCGCGCTTGTGTCGTATGTTATGTTGAGTGTGTGGTGTAAGCCGTCAGGGAAGGCAAAGGTCACTGTCGGCAATTGCTCCCAATACACGTCGCCAGCGGCTTCGTACCTGTACGCGGCGCTGCGCTCAACATGCGTAACCTCAACCAGCGGTACAGGGCAGGGCAATCCGTTGGGATTGACCGGAGCCGGGGGAATTGGCATCAGCGGCGAGGCGGGGCAGCTTGAAGGGGGAGGGCGGACCATGATTACCCGGATAAACTGCTGCTTGATCTTAAGGGTGTTTCCCTCGCGTTCGTACAGCCAATCGTTCGCACACGTGCAGCGCGGCGGGTTGTCGAGCCAGATTCCCCGCCAGCGGGGCAGCGCCCTCCCTTCCGTAGCCATAGCGGCAATATCATTTCTACGCATGTTGAGACTGTTTGGAAATGACGATTTGAACCAACCACCAGACAGGAAGGTCAGCCTGTTTCCCGCCAGATTTAGGGCATGCATTTTCGTGTTTGAGTGGAACGCGCCCTCAGCAATGTGGGAGATTCTGTTACCCTCCAGGTTCAGGTATCCTAGCCGTTCAAGCCCGTGGAACATCTCCACGCCGATAGATCGCAGTTTGTTCTCAACCGCGCGGACATGTTCTACGGACTTGATCGCCTGCAAGGTCCCGGGTTCTACAGTAGCGATAAGATTGGCACTTACGTCGACCCACCGCGGCTGTACTCCCAGGAACGCGCCGGGCGACATCGTCAGGATTTGGTTGTCCACAAGGATGAGGTGGGACAACCTGGGCAACCCATGAAAGCAGCCATCCTGCAGCAAATCATATACTAGTACTGAGCTTTGTATGAGAACATCAAAGTATTGATTATCAAAGTAATTAAAATGAATTACGAACGTATTTTCCTTATTTACCTCCCTGTTTTGGGTATAGAGACTGGAATATAACGAGAAAACATGTCAAAATTCTATGTCTGGCCTGGGAGAAACTGTCGACTGGGGCTAGAACCAACAACCTATAAGATCTGAGTCTATGAGTCAAATCTGAATACATCTTTGACTAGGTTAGCAGGCTCTTAAACATGAAAACAAGGAAGCCCCATTTTGTAAGAAAAAGTTTAAGATATTCTAATGAATCTAAAATATTGATATGAGGGCTTGTAAGAAACAAATGTTAATTCTAAATTCTCACCTCCAGATGTGTCAGGTTGTTCTCCAAGAGCAGCAGATACTTGAGGCCCTCCATCCCAGCAAACGTGCCGTTCTTCAGAGTCTGGACATTGCTCCGCCAGATGACCAGTTTTGACACCTGTGGCAACTTAGCAAACGCCCCTACCTCTATTGCCGTTAGGTTACATCCCACAAACCACAACCTGCAATCTTCACCACATGGGATCTGAGAGAGGATCTCTGCCTTGTCAGTGCCAAGCTTGCCGACATTGTTGCCAACGATCATGATATTGGTCATCGTGTCTGGTGAAGGGTTCTGAGTGGGACCCCCCTGGGTAGGCATTGTTTCGTTTGAGCAGACCCGACAGGATTGAAACCGCTGAGACAAAGGCACAGTGTCGAAGGGACCATTGTAGCTGGTAACTTCAAGCGGGTATTTGGTCCACTTGTACCGGTACGCTCTAATGTCATACCGGTACTCATGACCATCGCTACTGCTGTCACCTACACCACACTTCGTCACGGACACTTCATGGCAGCTCTGCCAGCTACCTGCGTCCACACATGGCACTAGCAGCTGCATAAGCAGCAACAAAGAGACTTTTGCCATCAGCTTTATCGCCATGATAGAGCGTTAACACACCATGCTATTGATAGCAATGAGCTACAACAGAAGATTATTTTACCATATTTCCCTTACCAGAGGATTTTACAAAATGTTACCGTTAGTATCTCCACAGCTGTAGGGTAACCTGGACAGCACAGAAATCAGCCGTGTTGCCGCCGCAGTGGCACAACAGTGGTCTGATTCCGCCCGATCACACAGTTTATTACAGGTTTTGATTGAATAACTCTCCGCTATATCTAGGACGACATGAAAGAACTGAAGCATTCTTAGCCCGAAGATATTCACAAGCGACATTTCTTCTTGAGACAAACAGAAAATGATCATACAGACAGGTCTTTGATGAAAATATACATTGCTTCATAGCAGCTACCTTGCTAATAGAATATATTTATTTGTATATTTTCAAACTCATCCTGTATATCAATCTGGAGATATTTTGGTACGAACACATAACGCTGACTCATCAAATCAGTGTGTACTGTTGGTTTTTTAGATTCAATTCTGTACTTCAGCTGGAATATGATACTGACATAGCAAGGCTAGCCAACTTCTCGTCTAGACTTCCTCGCAGCTCTAGGGCCAACATGTTAGTGCCATTGAGAGTGGAAACATCACCATTCGCTTCCTCCTTCGTGCCACGCATCATAACTGGAACAAACTGGACGAGAAAACCAGAGAGCTGGGGGCCAACGCGTGGCCAGGGCCAGTAGCCACATGATATTACAATATTCAATGTTTTCATCGGTTTCACATAAACGTCAAATGTATACTTCTGTTAGAGTAACTTTAAGTCACCATTTAGAGAAAAATTATACTGACTTCAAAGACTTCCTTCGTTTCTTTCAAAACAAAAGATGAAAGCTCCCAAAGCACGTCCGAACATACCACAGATTTCATTGACGACCTACTTACAACAGGTGGTCAGGATTTAATCATACCCACGCGAAGTAAAAAAGAAAGAAACGTCTGCAGCGATTCTATAATTTCCTACAAGCTCGATTATATTTAATTTTGTTTAGTTTAAGGGATTGTGACTTATGGTATCCACCTTCCACGATACCTTGTCTAATAAACAACCAAAAATTTCATATGAAATCCCTGACTTAGAATATGTACTTTTAATTTTTTGCAAAATTCTACTCCATTTTCCGAAAGGATCTGTAATATAAACGCCGCCGTAAGGGGTGAATTAGGAGTATTTCCCTTGTTCGTTGACAGACAAACACAGTTAATTGAATATTGGTTAAGATTGAAGTTACCAAAATGATAGGCTTGCTAAAAAAGCATACGACATTTCAGTCGAAGAAGACCATGACTGGGCTACTCACGTTCAGGACATTTTATGTAAACATGGGTTCCAAAATGTGTGGCTTAACCCCGCAGTTAATGCCAACCGTTTTGGAGTCATATTTATTTTATTTTATTTTATTTTATTCACATGGATTTTTGAGCATTGCATAGGAAGCACTTGTTGTGCTTATGTAAATCCGCTGCTCATAAAACATAATACAAATGTAAACATAAAGATGACATAAAGTATAGCATTAACATAAAATGAAAGTGGCTGGCGCACCAATACCTAGCATAACATTATTGAGATTGGTCAAATCTTCCAGAGTGGTGGATATAGTTAAACACAATATCAAAGATACGGCAGTTGGTAGGGTATGGGAGGGAGGGGCTGCCTGTAAGAAGTAAAGTACATAATGTGGCGTCGTTTACGTTGAGTGGGTCGGAAGGAAGTATGTTTTCAAGATGAAGGCAAGATATGGATAACAACATTTTGGTCCTTTCAGTATTATAACATTTGCAGTGTAATAAATAGTGTTCTGGTGTCTCATTCGGATGCCCACATTTGCACTCGGGACTACTGATACAGTGATGCTGGAATAGGTGGTAGTTCAGCTGGCTGAAACCAAGCCTGAGTCTGGTAAGGTGAGTCACATGGTGTCCGTGGCCGTAAGAGTAGTGAGGATGTCTGGCCATGCTATCAAAGCAAGACTCTAATTCATTTTTGAATGCACGAATGGATGGGGATTCTTTGGCGGTCTGGGGTAACTTGTTCCAAGAGAAAACAGCAGAAGGCAAGAAAGATTTTTTGTACTTTTCAGTTTTGAGGGTAAAAGGGAGATAATTCTGGTCAGTACGCAGGCCATAAGGGGTGGAATCACGGATAAGTGGGGGAACCAAGTCTTGTAGATATTTGGGAACTAAGCCATTGGCCATTTTATAAAAGTGAACAAGTTTGAACTTTTCGCGTCTGTTGGCAAGTGTTTCCCATCCGACGTCACATAGAATGCGGTGGTGATTCGTCCCTCTCATTGCGCCTGTGCAAGCCCGGGCAGCGGACACCTGGACTGACTCAAGGAGGTCTGAATCCTTCATAAGAACACCACACCAGGCAACATTGGCGTACTCAAGTAAAGGACGTATCATGGCTTTGTACAAGATTTCAAGCGTTTTCCGTGGCACAAAATTTGATATTCTTGTCAACAAGTTAACTCGCTTCATTGCTTTCGTCACCAGAGTTGACACGTGGAGTGACCATGATAAATTTGGAGTGAGATGTAAGCCAAGGTGCTGGTGAGAGGGAGTTTCAGTCAGCTGAACACCTCTAAAGTATAGTGGTGGGTGAAGAACCTTTCTTCTTTTAGAGGAAAAAGTCATCAGTTCTGTTTTGCCGGGATTGAATGTTACAAGCCACTGGTCTGACCAGTCTGACACTACACTGAGATCATGATTCAGTCTGTTCGCTGAGACAACGGGATCCATGATTATCTCTAACAGTGCGGTGTCATCAGCAAAAAGACGGGAATCTGTTCGTAGGTTGTCAACAAGGTCATTTATAAATACAAGAAAGAGCAATGGGCCGAGAAGTGACCCTTGTGGAACACCTGCATAAATTGATAGCCATTCAGAGCACATCCCGTTTATAACAACTCGCTGTTTACGATCGCTCAGGTAGGATTCAATCCATAATAAGAGAGACCCAGTAACTCCTAGTTGTCGCAACTTAAAGATTAATCCCCCATGCCAAACCTTATCAAAAGCTTTAGATATGTCAAGAAAAACTGCACGGGTTTCGAGGCCTTAGTCAAGTGCTTGATGAATTTTGTGGACTAAATAGGTCAATGAATTAACGGTGGAATCTCCCAAGGCGAACCCGGCATTACGGTCAGTGAGAAGCTTGTTCCTGTGGAAGTATGAGGACAGTTGATTATGGACTATTCTTTCAAAGACCTTTGACACACAACATAGGAGGGATATGGGTCTGTAGTTTTCCTTGATCTGCTTGTCTCCTTTCTTGTGCACGGGCACAACATTCGAACATTTCCAAATTTTTGGAGTCATATTTGAAGTGCTCATGACACCAAAATATGACTTTAGCTGATTGTAATTGACATAACTAGTATTACCTGGCTAACAGACACATTTATAACAAATATGCACGGTTCTCCTGTTACATTCGAAATTCTAATGCCCCGCCTTGGGAAAGTCAGCACAAGCCAGTCCTGAGAGACGCTTTGCATCTCTACCCTTTTAATTTGTATTTCTGTATTTTTTCCTGAGCTGCTGTCACCCAGCGATGTGAGCTCAGGAAAAAGCACATAAATGCAAAAATAAAACATAGAGATGCAAATAGAGATGCCCAAGGAGGGCGATTGGGAACCTTGCTGGAGAGTCTCCAAAAATTGACCTTTTCTCAGTCATCATGATTGAAACCAACTTCACGTGACTTTATTACCTTCGCCAAGAAGGTTATGTTTTCAGTAGCGTTTGTCTGTGTGTGTGTGTGTGTGTTTGTGTGTGGTTTAGCAAGATAACTCAAGAAGCAGTGGGTCGATTGGAATGAAACTTGATAGGTGGGTACCGGTAGGTCTTTATGAGACCTAGAAATGATTAGATTTTGGGCCCCCTGGCGGCTTTCCTAGGTACTGCAGCTGAACTTCCGATTTTGGTATCTCATGTTCTGGACATGTTAGGGTCACGAATTTTGGTTGGTAGATAGCTCTTGGGGTAGGGAAGAAGTGACATGAGTTTGGGTCCCCTAGCACCTTGTTCTGGAACTGCAGGAGTATTTGTTGAAAAAAAATTGAAGGAGGATAACTCAAGAACCGGTTGACGTATTGTCGTGATTTTTGGTATGTAGGTAGTTGAAGTGATGCTTGACATAATCAGATGGCAATTGTGCAAATCAGGAGCTAATTTGCATAATTAATGAGGAAATTCTATAAATATGCTTTGTTCGATAATAGAACTATGAAACACTTGTGACATCTACTTGAGAACTAGGAAAACATCTGAGGATATAGATTATGTAAATGAGGACCTAATTTGCACAATTAATGGCAAATTCCATAGTTGTAACTGCTGCACCCCGAATTTCATACTTGCCACATTTGGAAGTTAAGTGAAGGTGAACATAAATAAACATAATTTATTCAAATCATGACCACATTTGCATAATTTATGAGGAAGTGCTATGATAGCCCTTTTGTTATGATAAGGCTGTCATTGGATGGAGAATATGATCAACTGATATAATCCATGCAAATGAGGCCCTTATTTACAAAATCAATGATTAAAATAAAGAGAAACTGAACACAGAAAACAAGAACTTCTTAATATGTTTACATTGACGAAAAGAGCACACGCAAAACGACACATTTTCATGCAGGTGAAAAACACATTGACAATACGTTTTTGAAACTGAAGTCATCAGAACACATTCCAGAGGTATTCACTGTAAAATAATCGTAACGAATTGATTGACACGAATTCAAGTAATGAGTTCATCTCTTAGTACAATTTATTCACACATCTTTAATCATATTCTTAGTATTATATACAATATTTTCATCACGTGACTACCTTAGCTATTGCTGCTCTTTCCTTAAGGTTACCATTGTAAGATTCATACTTGTGGTCTCATAACCTTGAATGTTAAAAATCTTAGGCCACAGCAAGTAAATTTTAGGGATGACATCCCCATTTTAGCCTGATTTTGAATATAAAGAAAACTAGACAAATTTCTTTTCCCTCTGGTGATGCCTTGATTGTAGCTATTTCCAGATAGGGAAGTACATGATTGTATGGTGTTTGGGTGAAACAGTGGGGTTGAAGATTCGAGGACGAATCTTAAAAAAAAGGGACCCGGCCGATGGGTTTAGACCTTTTAGCCGAGTGGTTAGAGCATCAGCATGTGGCCTGGTGGGTCATGGGTTCGAGCCTGGAACCAGGAGTTTCTTTGTGTTTCTACTGCTCGCCTCCTGTTTCTTACAGGACTGAGCTGTGGGTATGTGTATCTGTTTTCCCACTCTACAGAGTAGGTTGACAACATGTGGGTGAAAGACTGACAGGCAGAATGATGGGCCGAAAAATCAGACTCTGGAAACAGAGTGAACATGAAGGTATCAGAATCAGATCATGGGAGCCAGATCTAGATGGAAATAGAGGTCGACTTGGGGGAATTCAGGATGCCGAATATTGCACGCTTCCAAGAAGTCTGAAATCTCTGATTTCTTGTTGCAGACGTGACACTAGTTAGCCTGGGTACCATCTGGACTATGATTTTTTCGAGCATTGTGGAGGAAAATCCGGATGGTACCCAGGCTAGACATTAGTATGGTAGCCTTCGGTGTACTTAAAAAAGTGACACTAGTGTGGTAGCCTTGAGTGTAGTTGGTAAATGAAACTAGGCTACCATACTAGTGCCACTTTCTGTACTTCTTGAATACTTGTTGGCTTATGCTGATATAGATTATTAGAACATAGCACAGTTTGCCTAATCCTTTTTGTAACTTAAGAGTGCATTTAGCCCCACTGGGGCATGAATATGCAGTAAACTTCATTGTCATCCTCATTAAACCGTTATATTTGGATACTTTTGCCATTTGGACGGCCTTACTGTTTTTTCCCACACTCTTACATTTAGAGTCAGTAGAGGAACTTCCATCCATAAAAATACTTGCTGTGGCCTTACATACATACATGTACAAATGTACGTACCTCAGAAAAACAGAACATACCTTCATGCAAATATAATCACTTCAATAAAATCGCACATTTTCAATGAGAAAAATGTGAAAACCTGTTACCTACTAAATCTTCTTTCTTCAAACTACATGGGTGTGAAAAGGAGTAAATTTTTATTATACACAGGTAGTTAAAATATCAAGCAATCTGCATGCTTTGCTAATCCAAATTCCTTCACACTATAGTATAATTTCCTCACTGTTATAGTATAATTAACAAAATTGCATGTTTCAGTTAGTTGTTACCACTCATAAATTTCTTATCTCGTATTGGATAGTCAACTTTGAAGTGTTTGTCCAACAACCGCAATATTTACCTCCCTATTACATATTATGTCTGAGCTTTGATTGCTTACACAACTTGTTCATATCTGAGCAAGAATATCTATATACAGATACATATCTCTGTTATATTATATATTTCCTTACATGCACAATATTGAAATCTTTTCTCAAAACAACTCTTTGCACAATGGAAATGGAAAACAATCAAATATTAGAAAGTGATGATAAAAGGAAAAAATAACACATAATAGATTTGAAATCTACAAAGTTGAAACGTTTCCTTAACTTTTAGGCAACATAATCTTATAAGCTTATCAAATAAAAGCAATAGTTGATTGCTATCTTCAACTTTCACGAATAAAAAGATATTGCATACAAACATATGTGCCAATTAAAACTTACCATAAATTTATAGTATAAATACAACATTGTGATACTATTAAAAGGATAATTAGACTTGCTGATATCTAATCAAGTAATCTTTATAGAAAGTGCATCAAAACTTCAATATTGATGTCAATAAGTTATAGCAAATGTTTACAACATTTTAATATAGAATCTTTTCATATCATATCTGCAAATAATCATCATAACTTACATGGGTTTGGTCTTCTGAGCACATTTAAACATCCATTGCCCAATTATACAGTCTACATTTTTCATCATTCACTTGTCAAATTTTAACACAAACTTTTGTCCAATAAGTCTTGTATTATCACTCTTCTTTGTGTAGTTTTTTTCCTTAAAAGTTTCAGAATAGCTCGAAGCAAAAATTCAGCTTAATTCAAGGCATGAACATAATAAAGTTAAATTAACATGAAATTCTCAGAGTAACTTTCTTTAGTTCACAAATTTATCACTCATCAATTATCATTAAGTTTATTGATAAAAAGATGCTTTCAAACACACTGAAATTCAATAACTTACTGCATGTTGTGTAATATACACACTGTGATAATCTTCATACATTTGATATTTTTCATGAGCTGATATTTTCTGATTAACAGTACCAGCATGCAGGGTGCACATTTAACTTGTACAGTCACAAGTCTGGTCAATGTTCCGTATATATGACAATATACAGTAATCCTAAAATTCAACTCACATTTGTTATCGATATACCAACATTGAACATTACATCCAAATAATTGATGCCAGGCGGCATTATAAAACAAAGTGTTCACATTTGTATCATTTAGATACTTTTTCATTTAGATTCATAATTTTCTCTTCTCTTTGATAGTTGTTATATTGTTAATTTATCTAGTACGCCTAGTCTCTCTAAATCTACTTTTAACATGTACCAAAAGATTGCAGTTCACGATTTAGGCTGGTTCTTTCAACAGTTCATGATTCTGCATGACATCCAATATATGCACTTATTCAGACTGACATGACAATGCCACAATCTCCCAGAGAATGGTGCATTTTTAGTGATAATTTGAAATGGAAGCTGCTCCAGGATTTCCCAGTAATATGTCCACTTAATACAGAAATTCCAAAACTGTTTCTAACCAGTTGTCTGAGAATGAAACAACCTACTTTGTCTTCGCTTAATATGTCTTTTGATTGACTGTTACCATGCATTCTCTTTTTTAATACACATCTTGCTACTTCTAACCTTGTTTTGATGTTTGATCAACTGTGGTTTGAGGAATCTTCGTATTTTGGAGCAGCCATGTATTGAAAAGCAAAATGGTGGAAAGTTTCTAGTGTGCTGAACAGAAATTATGACAGTGTGGGACACATGTAGAAGTTTAGAGGCTGTTCAACAAAATCTATGTCTGATGGCAAGCATTCAAAGTGTGAATGAATCCACAGCAGATCCACAATTAAAGATAAAATGTAACAATTGAATTGATAAAGTTATTATAATAAGAAACACTGAATGTTTGCGAGACAAATAATCAAGATGCGAGACATAAAGGGCTGACATACATGTAGCAATAGATTTACAGAACACATGTCCATGGTATCTAGTCTGACTTAATGAGCAGCCTTGCAAATTGTTTGTTAGATTAGTACACTGTTCTAGTTCTAGTTCAACAGACAGATAGACAGAGAAGTAAGTTTACACGTTGGTTGGTTGGTTGGTTGGTTACACATCTGCAGTAGGTACAGAGAGGTAAACATTGCCGGCATCCATGCGGGTGGCGCCCTTCCGGCCTTGGGTTGTGACGGCAAACTCGTCGTCCCCTCCCTCGTCCTCTTCGCCAACTCCCGCAAGGCCGCCCGCCTGAGGGACGAAAAAAAGCGAATCTCGTCAGATCTTCACACTGGAAAATTTTTCCCTGATACACGCTTCATCTAACGTCATGCATTATGACTCCTGGAACTGATGGCAGCTTTCTTTAACGTCCAATGGTAGTACACTGAGGTGAGTTTAAGTGTACATTAAGGTGAGTATACAATAGCCTTGTGTCTCTATACTAGTATAAATAGGTGTGAGGAAAATCTGTTAGCTGTAAGTTAAACAACAAGAGTGCAGAAGGGGTGAGAAGTTGTATAGTGATGGTTAGGCCAAGCAATGCTGATTTTATGGATAACACCTGCACACAATATGACTGGAAGTTTCCCAAACATGAAGAAACGTTGCTTGTATCAACCATGGAGCAACCATACCAAGCTAGAAAACTATTGTTGACAAAATATCAGAGAATAAGTTGTAGTCGTACTGAAACTGTTGAGAAAAAGGTACCAAAAGCAATTTTAGACATCCATGAGGCAAAAATGTGATGTTGCTGATGGAAAATGGTTGTTTCGTGTTGTAAGCTGGTTCTAGCTATTTATTGGTAGTAAAAAAAGATAATGGTAGCTAATTTTGGGCAATCTAAAAATTTAATGCTTCAAGTATGAAATAATGACAAAATGAGCTAAAAAATGGCAGCAAATGTCAGTATCTAACAGATTTTCTCATCCAAATACTTTGTTTTGCTGCCCTGCATTGGATGCCTTTAAAACATTAAGTAAAAAAATTATTAATCTCTAGCACTCTGGCTTCATGTTTGGGTTCCTCATATGATGCCATCCATAAGATCAGACTTGTGTGGTCTTAGGAAATAGACAGAACAGTACCTGAGGTCTACTGTGACCCTGACGCTAACTAAACGTGACACAGACATTGAATTAAAAGAATTTTAAGTTAGTGACCTGGTATGTCTCAAGGACAGAGCAAGTCTATCGATTAAGCAGTGATAGTTTTCTAAAGAATAATACAACAAGCAACACTATATATAATAAATCCAGAAAAAACACTTTAAATTTGGAAAACAGCAAATTTAAACGCACAATATTTCTGAATATGATAGAGCAGATCACATCAATTATGTACATTATAACATTATTGACAGTCTCAAGAAACTTGTTCAGTTCTGAGCAAGGTGTGCAAGTCCCATTGCGTTGCTTTGTATACCCTAAGTCAAAAAAGCACAAAGCTAACTTAAGACTGAACACCTTATGTTTGTTGTGTGTTGTGCAGAGGTAAGCATTGCTGTGCTTGTCGATTCAAACCTTTGTCAAATCATTTCTGCGACCAGAATTCACAAAAATACACCAGGTCCTAGTACATATTTCTCATACTTTGACTTATGAATATACTATGACAATGAAGAAATAATAATACATGCATATACATGATATTGATTGCAATAAATGACTTTCAAATACTGCATCAAAAGAATGACAGGCAAAGCTGATAAAAGTACTAACTACTAATAATGTACTAACTACAGGACTATTTATCAAATGTACAGTCGTTCAAAACATGTTACCATGATCCGTAAATACATGTGTGTAATTTCATCAGGTGGGTAAACGAATGAATAGCAAAGTTCTTTGATCACAACCATTTATTTTTTACATCTAGCGTCAGTGCACAGTAAACCAGTCAGAATTGCCCTGATGAAGATGACAGACGGTCATCGAAACGTCGGCTCGTAAAAATGAATGGTTGTGATCAAAGAACTTTGCTATTCATGTTACCATGATCATTGATCAGAAGAAAGTGTGAATAGAAAGTCACCATAAAGGCAAGATCTAATCCTAATGAGGAATCACTTCAAAATTCATGTTGAGTATCAAGTGATGTCCTAGCAAAGAATTCGGTGAGGTACATGCACTGGATCTTGATATCTAAAACCTGGTGTGAAATGCATCCTCATACTATAGTGTTTAAAATGATGTATTTCTCAAGCAAACTTAAAGAATACATAGTTATACAGAATATATACGGGTATGGCAAAGTGAATATTGCTCTTTAGGGGGGAGAAAATGCTTTAAAAGTTAAGTCATCTTAAGGGGCTATACTAAATGTTTAAACCATATAAGTCACCAGGATAGACATAAGTGGTTATAAGAAACAAAGTAAGCTTGGGAACAGTGGGCATTAGTCTAGGAATGAATCAAAGTATGCATATCTTGAATGTGCATTTAACCACTGTCTTGATAAGTTCAGTAATAAAATGGAGATATATCATATGCAAATGGAGGGACATGTGACTGTAAAACTGGATCAGCCACGAAAAATGAGACAGCAAACTAGATCTGAGACAGTCACTTGGTTAGAAATATGTGACAGGGCATTGAAGTAAGGATTAGGTAGTATATGTCATTACATGATTATCATAATTTATAATAATGGTGATGAAGCCAACCCATCCAGTAACATGGGAGTAAACGAGCACATCGCTAGAACATTAACGTACTGCGCCTGCGCGAAACCCCAATTTTTCGTGGTACCTTTTCTGACACAATATTATACCTTTTCTGACACAATATTTGGAAACTAGAGAGTGTTGACCTTATATACTCCAATATGACCTTATATGGGACGTTCTGCGGAGTGCTATCCACACTACATTACGGGTTTCGTGCAGGTGCAGTACATTCTGCCGACGTGCTGAGTAAACGTGCTTTAGATTACGTGCAGGTCAGCTTAACTGCAATGGAGAAGGTTAGCTTGGGGGAACCCCTGCTATAACAGCTATTCCACATAGAGGACCAGGGACAAACTGGAAAATGTATACATGACTGGTTATATTAACTTTAAAATTTAGAAACCAGATGGCTTGCAAGACCGGAAGGAAAGAACAAAGAAAAGTTATTAGATTTCTTAAAGTTGAGGTAGTGTGGGGGAGGTAGGACCTAAGAAAGGTTCATGTTCAAATGACTTTCCACTTTGCCCCTCGGCCACTAGAACTCTAAATGGAATAGCCTTTTAGCAAGAGTACAGGGGCAAGGGTATTACACCAAATGTGTTAGCTACATTGTATAGTTGTGAAGGCGAGTGAAAAGAGCAGCTGATAAAAAGGGAAGGACTCTGGGATCTACTGGAGTCCATATCTTGGGTTCATCAGTGGCCTACCATAGCTTGTTTCTCCTCCTTCATGGCCTCCTGTTCCGGCAAGGATGTTTTAAGACAAGGGTTTTAAGACAAACATGTTTAATGTTTAGAACTAGAACAAAAGATCAAACTGAGTGTTATGTTTATCAACTTAATGTTTAGGTACTTACATGTAGCTGAACTTAAGATAATACTACTTGTCATATTAATGTATAGTTTAAATTGCCCTGAAACTTATTAATAATTTGCATGAAAGTTCATCTGAGTTCAACTTGGTAAATTACATCTCCAACTCAAAATTTGACTCACTGGAATTTTGGACTGAATCACTCAGTCTTCCTCAGCTATCTGACCCAAATGCTGTGGACACGTGATTTTTCCCACGTGCGACGTCAGCAAAGGGTCAAAGGTTGTCTGAAGTGGATATCGCCCCCTGATATTGATTTAGAGGCATAAAAGAGGCCATATACATCAGGGCACTTCAACCATCGCTCAACCGGGACGATATCGACTTCAGACAACCTTTGACCCTTTGCTGACGTCACACGTGGGAAAAATCACGTGTTCACAGCATTTGAGTCAGATAGCTGAGGAAGACTGAGTGATTCAGCGCAAAATTCCGGTGAGTCAAATTTTGAGTTAGAGAACAGTTTAAATTTTTTCATATTATTAATAATTTGTCAAAGTTATAACAGAATTAATACTTTCTTCCAAATAGAGGACAGAAATGTGCCCCTGTCAAGACATTGGACTTTCCAGATTTAGGTATTAATGTGTCAAACTGAAACTTGACTAGCTTCGTGTTAACCTTGCAAGCATAAAAAACCAATGGCTTACACTGAAATTATTTGGTCTTTGTCCCAATAGTTTCCTACTAATAAAGAAAAATAAAACAAGTAAAATCAAGATATTCAAACAAAAATGATATTGAGTGTCTGAGAGCCACACATTTGAATGTGTGTGACTGTATTCACCTACTTGTTTGTGACTGTTCAAATCACCTCATAGAATTGTAAGTTATATTGTTAGCATCAAGAATTACCTTTAGTAGTCATAACCATGTACATGTAACTTTGCCGTTGTACCAGTTACAATGGACCTATACCATTATTACGTCACAGTTTGTTTACCTGTTCTAAAGAACATTCTAGAACGGTCAGTTAAAGAATAAAGATCATTTCAAAGTTTTCAAAGTAAGGTACTGGTATGTCTGATTTTTGCTGCGTCTAGTTGTGTCGACACAGCATTACATGCCGCAAGGGTGATTTAGTTGTGACATTAGACGAAAGTAGTACTGTATTAAAAGCCTTATATTAGGCTAACGCTACACAAACACACACCGCGCTACGCACCACTGTACAATATAAACATCGATTGACCGGCATGCATTGCGGTAAACAAACTGTGACGTAATAATGGTATAGGTCCATTGTTGTGCAATAGAGTCCTTCTCTATGAAAGTTCTTCTGAGTCAAGTAAGTTTCTTGAATTCTATCATATTTTCCAATTAATGGCATGATTGTCATGACACACCAGGGTCAATTTCAAGCTTACACAAATGGAAAAAAAACTTATCAATGTACGATGTATCATTTCAACATACATATATGTATATAAGACCTTACGCCAAAAAGCAGTTACTCAAGCAATTGGATATGATTTTGGAAACGGTCAGATGTTTCAGCTAGTATCCACTAGCTTTCATCAGTGACTGAGAGACCAGAGGAGAAATGCAGGTATGTGGTGGACACTATTACTAGCTGACACGTCTGACCGTTTCCAAAATCATGTCCAGTTGCTTGAGTAACTGCTTTTTGGCATATCGTATTACCTGGATGTCTAACCTTCATTGACGTATATAAGACTTGTGAAGCTGTGTAACTCACCATGATGTGCTCTTGATCTTGTAAGGCCTGCTTGGCCAGGTAGCGCTCCCGTTTGATCTTGATCTCTAAACTCTCTGGGATGTCGGGCACCATTATGTCAATCAGCCGTGAGATGAAGAAAACAACATGCTGCAAAAAAACAACAACAGTAAAATCTATCAACAACTAGAGAAGTAACATTTGCTAAGCAAATGCATAATGTTTTACCTTTGGACATGGTCTGCCATGTTAATTTTTACTCACACACATTCACATACATGCACTACTAGTATGTGGTGACAGTAGCAGAGCAGACCATTATGTAACGTTGTGTAACCCAACACCAGTCACCATGGTAACAGACGTCAACAAATCACTTCATTGGTCAGGTCAGAGGTCACTGTTTGGAGGAGAAGAGGAAGAAACTGAGCAAAAACAATATGTTTTCCTTCGGTAAACATAATCAATTTTGAAAGTTAAATTTAAGGTAGTCAGGCTGTAGGGGCAATAGTTTGGTAATCCACTGTTTTACCAGTACTTTATATATTATATATACATGTAGGGCACGGTATTGGAAGGCAGTCTGAGCTGGTCTTTTTCCACTGCCTTTTAGGCCATGTTGATTTGATTATATGGATGACATCCGCGCGCATGAATTTTCGGCCGTTTCCAAAAAAAAAGAAGTTTTCAACCATACTGTAAATTGTACAAAACAGTTGCAAAATGAGCAAAAATATACCATAAGTTACAAAAAAAAAGTAATAAAAACTATACCAATGTCGTAGAATGTCAAAATCAAACGAAAAAAGACGAAATTGTAAAGAAATGAACTTGAAGACTAGATTATTCGCCAAACCATATTCTGTGCCATTTGCTCAACCCTCATGACCACGTAGATTTCATAATGAAAAGAACTTTTTTTTTTGCAAAACTTTTTTTTTATTTGCACGCGCACATCAGTTTTGGGGCTCCCGGAGGATGTCATCCATATAATCAAATCAACATGGCCTTACCTGCTGAACAGAAGTCAGGCACACATTTTACACCTGGGTTGAGTGAGGAAAGTGCCTTTCCCAAGGATACAACATATAGCCTGGTCTGGATGCCAGGGATCGAACCAGCAACTTCTCAATCTCATGTTCACATCAGTCTACCCACTTGGCCACTCTGCAGCGAGTTAAACGTGCCATCAAGAGCAGAACTGCAGAGTTCAAGCGTCATGGGAAATCTGATCGTTGGAAGAGTCTCAGAAACCGAGCCCAGACCATCATAAGGCAGGCAAAGTTCTGGTACTACCGGAACTTTATCCAGTACCTCAAGCTGGAGAACCCACGCAAATGGTGGAGTTTTGTCAACTGAGAACTTGGCAGATCTCAAGAGAGATCTAACCGCACCACCATTGAGAATGTGCCAGACCGGGATGTTGCTGACGTTCTGAACCAGCACTTCTCTGAGGCGTGGTGTCCTGGCCATGCTCTGTACCTGTTTCCTCTCCAACGTCCCACCGAAGCTGTGGACCTCTGTTCGATCGGGGAAGTCAAAGCCCTACTCAAGGACATAAACCCTAACAAGGCTAGTGGTCCGGATGATCTTCCTACCTGGACACTTAAGGAGTACGCAGAGGACTTTGCTCCCGTCATCACTCACTTCTTCAATGCTTCCTATGGAGGGGGTACGGTACCGAGTGTTTGGAAGGCAGCAAACGTAGTCCCCATTCCAAAGTCAAAGGGAGCAACCAAACCCAGCGACATGAGACCTGTGTCTCTCCTCCCTGTCCTAGCCAAGTTGTTGGAAAGGTGCATACTGAAGAGACTCCTCCCGTCTATCACACCTGTCAAAACCAACCAGTATGCCTACCTCAAGGGCTCGTCCACCGTCATCGCCGTCATCAGGATGATCCATACATGGTTGAGCGCTCTCGACTCCAGGGATCAAACCTGTGTTCAGACCCTTTTGCTGACATGAGCAAAGCGTTTGATAGGGTGAGCCACGCAATACTACTACAGTGGGTGAACGACGTTGTGCCAAGTCCACGGATGGTAGCGTGGTTGCAAAACTACCTACAGGGTCGCACTCAGCGAGTGGCTGCCAACGGCGAGTTCAGTGGCTGGCGGCAGCTTACGTCAGGGGTACCGCAAGGTGGAGTGTTATCGCCTTATCTGTTCCTTCTGTTCATGAGCTCACGCGAAGTGGTCCATAGCGACACTTTAGACGTGGGCTACGCAGACGACGTGAGTTTGTCCAGATCAGTCTCCCTGAAGAATGCTGGCACGGACACTACTATGACAGAGGAAGCGTCGCAGCTTGACACCTGGGCGGACCGCAACGAGATGCTCCTGAACGGCAAGAAAAGCCAAGCGATGCTGATCTGCTTTAGCAGAAACATACCAGCTCTACCACCTCTGTCTCTCGGTGGCGAACCTGTTCCAGTCACTAACGTGGCCAAGGGGCTTGGCTTCATCTTTGACGACAAGCTCTCCTGGCGTGAACATGTGAAGTCTACGGTGTCTAAGGCCTCGAGCAGGCTTCACTACCTCCGTCTGCTAACAAAACAGGGCATGAGCGTGGAAGATCTCATCCAGGTGTACCTGAGTCTCATCCGCCCTGTTCTGGAGTACGGACATGTCCTGTTGGTGGGTTGCAGTGAGGACCTGGCAGCTAGCATGGAGAGAGTTCAAAGGCGCGCCCTCCGGATTATCTCACGCGGCGGCAGGCGTTCCGTTCCGGACCTGCCTTCCCTGAAGGAAAGGAGAGAAGCCGCTGCAGTGACCCTCTTCAAGGCCATGCTAAGACCGGATCATCCACTGCATGACCTGGCTCCTGTCCAAAGACACTCAGCCACAGGCAGATCCCTGAGGAACAGCCACGACTTCACGATCCCTCACGCAAGAACCAAGCGTCTGCAGCAGTCCTTCCTGCATTGCGCGATCAGACTGTACAACGACTCACTGCAGACATCGGCATGAACTGTGTATATATTGTAAATAATTCTTGTATGTGTCTTTGTATATGTTTTTAAGTAGATGTGTTGTGTGAAATTTTTTTTTTAATGAGGGCAATGTGAAAATTTGTACCCAATTCAGAGGGGGTGCTTTTTGCACTCCCCTCTGCTGATGTACATTTTTTGAGTGGAGAATAATAAAGATTCAAGATTCATTAGTGAAGTCAGAGGATTAAACAAGTATCCAATTTTGCTGCACCTTGGGCTTAGCCTGTCATTTTACCTGAGTCCCCAATCAAAGTCAGGAACCCATTTTACACCTGGGCGAATCTTGTCTTTTTCTTTTTACACATATTACATAGAAAGTATAATATTTTTTTTTAAATGACTGGCATTACATAAAAAGTACTGTACTTCACTTACTTCAAATAAGATGACAAAACCAAGTCGTATAGCCAGCAGTCTCCAGTAGAACAAACTAAAACTGCCGTCTTTGTCTCGGAACTCCTTGTACCTGAAAATAATTTAATAAATGGTTTATTGGTCAAACATTATCTGTGCACAGCCTTTTATTGCGCTGAATTGATGCAGGGTTTACAACCACATAATTTACAAATGAATCATATAACATATTTGCTCTTTGAGTTCATTTATACCTGTTTTCAAAAGAGGGAGAAAATATGTAACTACATAACCAATGATAGCCTTTTATTACGTTTTTCTGTATCCGTCCATCAGATTCTGTATAAAATTACTTAATATATATATAATTATAGAACTGATGTAGTGTAGCACAATTACTACAGATATAGAGTAGCAATTTTGTGGAGTTGTAGTGTTTATATGATTGTCTTATGTAAAACTACATTCACTGCACTCATGGGCAAAAATAAACATCAGTGTTCAGGGCTCGAAATTCATTTTTGGGAATAGGTGCACTGGTGCACACAAATTTTTTGGGGTGCACCATACACAACAAAACCTAATTACAGATCTTACTGGGAGCTAATTTCAAAATCTAAACAAGTACTACAACAAAGATTTTATTATTTTTCTGACACTAAGATGCCAATAATATCCTGTATACTATTATAGATTTGATATGTACAAAACTACCTACAAAAATATTTGGGAGTGCACCCACACAAAAGAATTGGGTGCACAGCTCCAATTTTGGGTGCACCAACGTGCACATGCACCCAGTACTTCGAGCCTTGGTGTCCTTGTCATTGTTGTTACTGACCTACACTCCTGAGACATGGCGCCGGGTGGAGAGTACGCTAGCGTGAAGTTGACATATCCATCCAGGTTCCAGTTCTTCTCATACTTGTACAGCAGGCGGGGCAGAAACTCAGACGTTACTGCGATAATGAAAGCCTGGAAAGGAAAAAAAAGGTAGATTCAGTTAACTCTGAAACAACAGATTTTCACAAGAAATACACGTACATGCATAGAGAATGCATTTCTGGCTCATTTTTCTTTTAACTGCACATGCGTTGTGTCAAAGTTGAAGAACCCTGATGAGAGATCATCCCAAGCACGTGCTTCCATCCCAAATACAATCCTCAAGTACGTTGGTGAAGGTTAGACATCCAGGTAATAAGGTACGCCAAAAAAACAGATACTCAAGCAACTGGATCCAAAATCATAATCCAGTTGCTTGAGTACCTGTAACTGTTTTTTTGGTGTAAAATCCTCAAGCTTTGACTACAAACAATATTTCACCGCCATCTTTAGGCATAGTGATACATCTACATGTAGCTCTGTGCTTGGAAGTGGTCATTTGGCAACACTGTAAAAAAAAATCAAACTCCAAATTTCTTGGTTAACGGATTCGCCCGCTTCGTTTTTTTCTGATTTGCAAATAAAAATAAAAATTCAGAATCAACTGCAAAATGCTCATATTTTGCTCTGAACAGTTGAAAACAGTCCTTTTCATCCTATAGCTAGTTGTTACAGTTATTCCATCTTTCAATGCAATGATATCATTAAAAGTAAAAAATTCATTGTTTAAATTTTGGACCAGCCTGGTGTGTTGACTTCATGGCTCCTATCGTACCATTTTGGGCCATAATAGGATGCCTAGGCCTATATTTTTTTTTTTTTCGCCCGCCCGCTCCATTATTTTTCTAGAAAAATCCGTTAACCAAGAAATTAAATTGGTGTGGACTAACATTAAACCAGGAGACAAACTTACATTGCTGATGACAGCGAGCTGAACCAGAGCGTCTAGAATGTTAAACCACACGCCGATGTCCTGGGCTCTCTCCGACACCGAGCGACGCACCTCACAAACGAACTTGTGCGCGTCCAAACGGATCTCCACCCAGTTGTTCAGAAGGGCAAACAGCGGAGCCAGGGGAAACGCAGCCACGAAAATGGTGATGAAACCAAACTGGATTACTGTGGGGGGGAAAAACAACAACCAATGTCAGGCAGAGTACACAACATGTATGTAGTGTCAGTACATAGCTCAAAATACTGGATGCATGTGGAGCTGTGCAAGTATATTATGGTTGTATTTCTGATGTCTACCTGCACCTAACCTGCACTTATACAGGTCCATGTACTGGGTATATGCAGGTTAGTACAGGTAAAAGTGGAGCTGTGCAGGCATTTCTGATGTCTACCTGTACCTAACCTGCACTGGTCCATGTACTCGGTATATGCAGGTTAGTGCAGGTAAAATTGGAGCTGTGCAGGTATTTCTGATGTCTACCTGCACCTAACCTGCAAAGGTCCATGTACTGGGTATATGCAGGTTAGTGCAGGTAAAACTGGAGCTGTGCAGGTGTTTCTGATGTCTACCTGTACCTAACCTGCACTGGTCCATGTACTGGGTATATGCAGGTTAGTGTGGGTAAAATTTGAGCCGTGGAGGTGTTTCTTACATGTCTACCTGCACCTTGATAACCTGCACTGGCCCATGCATGGACTGGGTTTATAATTATATACAAATGTAGGTTTATGTGGATTTTTATTTGCTGCATTCACTGTTACCAACTATGAAGTATAAAAGAAATAATGGCAATGGTTTCTGAACTATTTTAGTATGATCCATACTTCTCAAGGTCTGAGTGGTACAAGTAAAATTTGTCTGGTGTAGGTAATCTTCACCAGTGCACGTATAAAATTGAATCAGATTATTACATTTATCATGAAATTTCTACTTAGGCCACAGCAAGTAAATTTTATGGATGACATCCTCCGCAGACTCCAAATCTAATGCGAGAGGGCAAAAAAAAACAAGGCGGACAAAAAAAAACAAGGTTCTTACATTTTAAAATTTTGACTCAATCATTGTACAAATGGTTTTGATTCACAGGGAAAATCACATATACACAGCCAGTATCACATATTACTGCATGAAAGTAAGAAACAAAACATTAAATCATTAAAACATTTTCTTGTCTCCTCCCTTTAAAGTTATCTGCCATCCACCTTCCGGTATGGCAACAGACATCTTGGCCCATTTTCGGCATGTTGACCATTGTCATAAGGCAACAAAATTTTTTTTTTTTTCCAAAATCAGGCGAAAATTAATGCGCGCCCTAATGTCATCCATAAAATTTACTTGCTGTGGCCTTACCCATCTCCAGGTATTCCTCAAACAGTCCCTCATTTTCGATGAGCTGATAGTCCTCCTCCCATCTGGCTGGTTCCGAGGACTTCTCCATCCCCTTTGCCACCTCACGCCGCTGCAAATAGTTCTTGATCTTACTGTGGACAACATATGATGATAAATCTTTAATTGTATGTTCATGCCCATGGGGCTAAATGCATACATCAGAGTGTGATGTTACATGTACATCATACTGAGTAACATGATACATAGGATACAAGGATAACAGAATAACGTAAAAGTCTTAACTACTAAGAGAATAAACTAATCTAGGCCTTGAAGATTTCTTCTCTATTTTTAAAGCAATTGGAGATAAATTCACAATCATTTTTCTATTGTATGGTCATTACTGGTGGACATGAGATGACTGAATTAAACCAAACGTCACCAACATCTCTATACCTAGTTATGCCACCATTATCTCATATGGACCAGGATTTATACATGTAGGCATGATATACAGTGTCACATTTTCTGAGTCAACTTGGACAGAGTTGACTCCAAGTTTACTCAGGACACATTTTCCCTGAGTGTGCAAACAGAACTAAGTGCTACTTTAGAATCTAATTATTTCAAGGTCTCATCAAGACCTACCAACCTACCAAGTTTTGTGACAATCCATACACAGTTTCTTGAGTTACTCTGCCAAACCACATACATACACACACACATGTATATATACACAAATGCTAAGCAAAAACATAATATATAATATTAACCTTCTTGGCAAAGGTAACCATGACTTGGCTGTACTTACGGTACTATGATCTCCTGTGCATTGTTGATGACCTGTTTACCAATCATGATGACGGCTAGCTGTTGGGCAAGCTCCACCAGACAGCCGCCCTGTCCGCACTGTGGCACAAAAAAAACTCTGATTGGATCTTTACTATTCTATACTGGAAGCATATGCACCTTAGTGCAGGTAAAATTGGGGCTCATACAACTATATTGTGATGGAGTCCCCAAGATAGGGTTACCGGTAATTGTTCCCAAATTAGGCCACACTGCCTTAATTTTATGGATGACATCCGAGCGCGCATTGATTTTTGCCTGTCGCCCTACAAAAAAAAAAAAGATCACGCCCATTGAGGCTCTGGCCTGGCTCTAGGCCTGGGTAGTCCATGGTAACTACCGACAATACGGAGCCAAGCACCCAGGCTATCGAATTCGGAGCTCCACGACTTCAGAACTCAACTTACATACGTATGGTACATACGTACGTAAATTCCTCAAAAAGCTAGCATGTGTCGGCTTGTCGTATATGGCGCTAAATGCTGCTGCGAATTCACAATACCAGCTTTGCATTCCTGTGGTTTAATCAAGACCTTTATGACATGTTTAATTGTTCTAGAACAATAGATGACGTCATGAAGTCGGTCAACAAAGGTCAAAACGAACTATGTAACAGGCCAGGGCGATCTGAACGCCATGTAACTGACCTGAGGGCACTATGCACTGGAAAGGTATATAAGTTAGAACTTCATGCACTTGTGTCATTAGCCTCTGTACACTTGAAGAAGCCACACAGGCGAAACCGGTCGTGTGACAGGCTGAATAAAAGTTCTAAACGGGAACTATGCGGCTCCAGATGTCTTACTGAGGGACGACTGCGTGTGCAAGACGTCGGTAGCTTGAGGAATGAATCCCCTCTACTATATACTGCATTCCTGTGGTTTAGTAGCATTTTTATTTTTGGCAGGAATTTTTTTATTCGCCCGCGCGCACTAGTTTGGGGGTCTTCAGAGGATGTCATCCAGAAAATTAAATCGGTATGGCCTTATAGGCATCCCAGAAAGGGAAGTCAAACCAATTCATAGTATGCATGTCAGATAGGAGAGGAGACATAAAGATGATCAAGAGCTAGCAGAGTGACAAGTGTCCTGTTCCTTTGTTCTGTAGTTGTGTAGTACTAGAGAGAACATTAAAATTGAGTTCTGTTCAACATGCACGTCTCATCTTGTGACATGTATTATATTTCAAAAGAAAAACAAGAGTAACACAAGCATGGAAACCTACCGCTTCGTTGCGGAGACCAAAGAACCTATTATAATGGCCCGGGTATCCAACAAATCTGTTTGGAGGGAAACAAATATAATTGTGACAGTCATACACCAAATGCATTTTCATAGTCATCATATGGACAACCATATGACATAAAAAGATGCCAAAGGGCTAGCCTCCATAGCATGCCAAAAACTGGGGGTTTGGGGGGTCTTCATGTTCTTTGGGAGCTTTTATGTGCTTTTTTCTGATTGCATGTAGACAACATAGCCGGCCTGGTTGAACTGGGCTAATCAGAAAACAGCCGAAGACCACCAAACCCCCAGTTCTATAAGCCTACTACGGAAGCTGATAAATACAAATATTAGGATATCTTCATCATCAGTGCTTATAAACTTATATGATGATATGTATATTTTCCTCAAATATACAGGAAAAACCTCAAAATTTATCATGTTCATACTCCTTTCCAGAACTATGGACAGTGTGTTACAGAAGACTCTACACAAGGAAACAGAGCACACGATACTGACCGTCCCTTGAAGAATGCGATGTAGAAGATGGATGAATAAAAGTTGACGAATTGGAAGATGAAGACTTTGAATGTGTAGCTGTCTTCATGTTCAGTTTGAGTTCTGTGCATTTCTGAAAAATAGATGTTTCACATTTAGCCATTTGTTTGATATCTTAAACTTTTTTTGGTGCTATTTTACCAAAAAACAGATATTCATCTGATATGTTCGCACATTATACTGTGTGAGGGAACTTCAGCACTATGGAAAGGAGATATGTGAGTTTCTAACATACCCAAATTATACTGTGTGAAGGCACTTCAGCACCATGAAAAGCAGATATGTTACAGTTTCTAACATAACCAAATTAAACTGTGTGTAGGCACTTCAGCACCATGAAAAGCAGATATGTTACAGTTTCTAACATACCCAAATTATACTGTGTAAAGGCACTTCAGCACCATGAAAAGCAGATATGTTACAGTTTCTAACATATGCAAATTATACTGTGTGAAGGCACTTTAGCACCATGAAAAGCAGATATGTTACAGTTTCTAACATACACAAATTATACTGTGTGAAGGCACTTCAGCACCATGAAAAGCAGACATGTCACAGTTTCTAACCTACCCAAATTAAACTGTGTGAAGGCACTTCAGCACCATGAAAAGCAGATATGTCAGTTTGTAATATACCCAAATTATACTGTGTGAAGGCACTTCAGCACCATGAAAAGCAGATATGTTACAGTTTCTAACATATGCAAATTATACTGTGTGAAGGCACTTTAGCACCATGAAAAGCAGATATGTTACAGTTTCTAACATACCCAAATTATACTGTGTGAAGGCACTTCAGCACCATGAAAAGCAGATATGTCAAAGTTTTTAAATTAGTCTATGTACATCATATTGTGAAGGCATTTCATTACCTTGGGAAGGTGCTGATATGTCACAGTTTCTACCATGTACATTATACTGTTTCTGCAACCAGTGTTTGGTGAAAATCTACCTTGTACAAGAGGAGAAAACGTAGTAAATTCAACAACAAGTTGAGTACTTACCCCACTCAGTGAGCTTCTCTGCAATCTTTTGGTACACCTGAAAGTTGTGATGTCGGAGTTACTATCCAATAACATTATTTTTTTTACAAGCAGAAAGGTAACATTTGCAAAGCAAATGCATAATGTTTACCTTCGCATATTGTCTGCTCTGTTAATTCTTATTCAAACAGATTCATATATATGGTCAGACAGGAGTCTAAATCCCTCCTGTTATAAAATTGCAACATGATGTAACCCAACACTAGTTACATTGTACTATGGTGACAGACGTCTGGTTCAGGTCATTGACCTTATTTGTTTTGTAAACATAATAGCCGGCTTACATGAAATTTCAAGCCATGATAGAATTTTTTGTAAACATTGAGGAAAATGATTTGTTTTACATTAGAAATGTCTCTATCATAACGGTGCTGGCAAAATGAATGTTACTTTTGAATATTTGTAATGAACCTGCAATTCAGCTAAGAGGCTGTGAGATATTATTATTTTGAATAAACCATTCATTCATTCATTCATTCTTACAATGCCTGATGCCATGATGAGGATCAGGTTGACGCAGGCTCCGCTCATGTTGGCGATGTTGGAGGCCTGAGCGCGGAACATGACGGACTGGAACAGGGGGATGCTGATCAGCACACGGTACATGATCACACCCAGCACGAAGATCAGAACCATCACCATCTGAAACATGAAAGTTCATCTGTGTTGGTAGTGATCATACATGTGTAGTAAAACCTTGAACTTTATTCCAACACACAATTTACACCTAATAATAATAATAATAGAATGAGATAAAATTTTCTGCGACCACTGTCACCTTTTTCAAGATAATCATAAAACATCATCAATTTTTCGACCCTAAAAATCATTATTTTGTACATGTAAATGAGAATGAGCCAACAGTGCTTCCTGTGTTTCAGGTGATCTCATGTGAATAAGGTCACGTTTTTGTAACTGTAACTCTATTATGTTTTATGAGCAGCGGATTCACATAAGCACAACAAGTGCTTCCTACATGTATCTAATGCTCAAAAATCCATGTGAATAAAATAAAATAAACTGAAACTTTCACGAGTTAATGTTGTGAAGTGATTGGTCATTAATTATCTTGATGAAGGCGACAGTGGTCGCTGAAATTTTATCTCTCTGTAAATTGTGTGTTGGAATAAAGTTCAACGTTTTACTATGATTACAACAGTGTTAGAAATACCTGCCTGCAGTCTGCATTTTGCAGAGAAATTTTCAATAGAGCAGAGGAAAAATTAAGCAACCTGCAATTTTGCAGACTGGACAACATTCAGGTTAAGAGTTGACAGACAAGACAGTGTCAGGTTGATTGTACCAGGGAAATTTCTTACAAAGAACAGTGGACCAGGGTTAACGCTCTAAGTTTACTGCTAGGTATTATGGCATTTTTGCATGTGTTTTACCATAAAGATGATGATGACTGCTCCAGCCATCATTCTTTTGAAGCGATCCTCGTCTGGAAAGTGCGGTTCCTTGATGCCTGTTACAGGGTTCTTCTCCATAGATGGTGCCATGGCAGCAAACTGGGGCCGGGGGCGCTCCTGAGGAACAAGAAATCTGATGTAAATTTTTTTATATTCTGTTTTCTTTAACCAGGGTGACCCTCTCAGTGGCTACACACTGCTTTACAGCGGGCCCTGGACACATAGTACATACAACACACATATGATACAAGGAAAACTGTGAAATATTTTCCAGTGATTTTATTTTCCCGGTTTTGGCAATAAGCTAAATGTTTCAGCTGAAAAGCTGCATTAAGTCACTGTCAATTTAAAATTACTAGTTAGCACTCAGCCACTGTCACTAGGGCACAGTATTAGAAGGCCTCTCCTCCAGGCTTCCACCTCCTTTAACCTATCCAACTGAAGTCAGGTACCCGTGTTACAACTAGGTGGAGTAAGGAAGTCATGTTTTTAAAAGTGCCTTTCCCAAAGACACAATGTCCAGCCAAGAATGCCAGGGTTCAAACCTGCCACCCCTCAATCTCGTGTTCTCTACCTACATGTACATATATGTACTTGTCCATTTGATGCCCCATACATGTATGACACCGACCCGACTCGCGGGAGGGCCGGGACAAAGGGCGATGAGGAATACCCCGTGTTGTATTTTATTTATGTCATACCCACCCAAGAAAACACGCCTTTCAATGCAAGATGAGCCAAAAGTTGGTGCCACTAAACCCTAAAATGCAACAACATCTATTCCAACGTCCAGATTCTGTATTCGAATTTTCGGAAGGGGCACAAGCGGGTAGGGCGAAACACGTTCGAATCGTTTTATGGAAGCCATGAAAGAGTTTGATAACGGGTTCCGGACCTGGCCGTACCGTATAGTACGGCCCAGTCTGGAACCCGTTATTGAACGTTATCGCGGCCCAGGTATGATATAATACAGTGACTACATTGTATGTACATGATTGACAAGTTGTAAGAAACATTTGTACCTCTTCTTCTTCAAAGTCCATGACATCCCAGTGGTGGGCAAGGCTGGCGTTCTTCCTCTTCCAGTACTCCAGGAAGGTGACGGCTGGAACAGTTGGAAGGGATAATCAGTACTCCATGGACAACATTACACTAACCCCAATTACTCATACTCATAGGTCCTTGTAAGCCCCTCTTGCATGTGTATAAAGTACAAGTTTACATGAAAGTTCATCTGAGTTGGTAAATTACATTATGAAATCCTGTTATCCAAACTGTTGTCCAACTCAAAATTTGACTCACCGGAATTGTTGACTGACTCACTCAGTCTTCCTCAGCTATCTGACCCAAATGCTGTAGATGCTGTGATTTTTCCCACGTGTGACGTCAGCAAAGGGTGTCTGAAGTCGATAAGCCATTGCTCAACTGGGACGGGGGGCGATATCGACTTCAGACAACCTTTGACCCTTTGCTGACGTCACACGTGGGAAAAATCATGTGTCCACAGCATTTGGGTCAGATAGCTGAGGAAGACTGAGTGATTCAGTCGAAAATTTCTGGTGAGTCAAATTTTGAGTTGGAGAACAGTTTAAATTTTTCATAAAGTACAAGTTTGTTGTAACAGTTGTACTGGCATGAACGTACTGCACCTGTGCAAAACCACCATTTTTGTTGGATGTTTCGTCAACATTGGATCAGAAGTTGGTCAGTTGCACATGTTTTTCGACACAACATTTTGGAAATTACAGATCCCTAAATATGAGAATACCACTTTAAACCATATTTTCTGGAGACAAGTTTCTTTCCAGATTTTTGCACAGGCACAGTACTTTCTATTAGAAGTGCTAGGTATACCCTATATATATATAGGTCTGCTGCTGAACATGAACAGTACATGTAAGTGTCCACACAGTTAACAGATTAACTGTTTTTAAATGATAAATAATACACTGAACTGTTATTACATACATGTATATCTAGTACACATATCAAATGGATGGATGCTTAAACTTCAGGATAGATAAAGCCTATCATTTTTTTTTTCAAAAAAGTCCCAAAAATGTTTTTCTATGCTGAGGGAACAACATCTGGTACACTACGTTTAGCTGAATCAGTGGTAGAGCCAAAAATGTCTATAAAACGTCTAACGGACATTAGACATGATTCAGACATTGCTGAACAAAGGCCAGTCGGGAGAACATTAAGTAGACATAGTTACTGAAAAATGACATCGAAATAACCCAAGGTGGACATTTTATATCCATAATCTCTTCACACGTCAGGTAGGGACACCCCTAGGAGACAGTCCTTTCTTTAGCACAATGCAAACTTATAAAGATATTAGCATCTGTCCATTAATTAATGGTGCCCTGTCCTATAAATTGTCTTGGCTTTGTGCAGTGCTTTTCATATGCATGCCAGTTTTCACACATTTTTCTAAAGACATTCTGACAGACACCTCATGAACAATGGGAAACACAACAAGCAAGTCCTCCCCAAAAAGACCTTGTAAAGACCTGGGGAAGACATTCTTACAAATGTTTAAAAAATGTGTGGAACTTTTGAGAATGTTAAATGTCCATTAGACGTTTTATAGACATTTTTGGCTCTACCAGTAGTAGAACTGTTGATACTGGAATAATAAAATTGACTTTCAAAACAGCATAATCACAGTCTGCATGAAAGTTGCAGTGTGAAGGAATGTTAGGCCGCCACACTCACCCCAGAAAGACATGAAAATGGCAAAGAAGACAGTCCCAGGATGGTCAAAGAGATAGGCAATCTGACGTGGGGAAGAGAGGTAAGTGGTAAGATGAGCATGTGTGAAGTTGTCCAATGTAACAGCATGTCTTGATAAGGCCACACTGATTCAATTTTATGGATGATCCATGTACCCATTGAATTTAAACTGTTCTACAAAAACGCTTCACCCTATGCTCCTCTGTAGTCCATGGTAGCGAGTGACAATAGGCAGCCGGCAGTAACTACGGAGGATGGCACCCAGGCTCCATGGAACTCAAGAACTCAGTACAGTGCCTAAAAATGCCAGCATGTGCCAACTTGTCGTAAAAGTCGCTATGTACTACCGCAAACTCACAATATCAGCTTTATACTCCTGTGGTTTAGAGCACTTTTTAGGCTGGAATTTTTTTATTCACCCATGCTCACTACTTACATGTATACAGGGTCTTCAGAGGATGTCATCCATAAAATTATGTCAGTGTGGCCTAATGTGGTGTTTGAATGTGTGGTATGGGCCTGAAATACTTACCTGCAACCTGCAATTTGCTGAATCAAAAATTTAGGATTGCAGGTAAAAATATGAATGTTCTAGCAACTTTGTAGGCCACAATTTACATTCAATGTACATTATGTATTACTACATGTAAGTAGCAACAAACTTAGGCCTCCCTTGTTCGTAGTGTACAACTCTATGAGATTCCAGAATAATACAGAAAATTTGAAGAAACAATTTCTACCGCACAATTAAAACAGAGATGTTTACATCTACATTGTATGTATTAATGATTAACTTATATTCATCTCAACTGTTATCATTTGTGCAAAGGTGTACTATGTCTACCTCTAACCACTAGTCAGAACAGAATAAGGTTAGAACATTATAATATATTAATTGTATTGCCTTGTACTCAATGAAAGTTTTGTTTGAATTGAAATAGTTATTGGAGAAAAATAAACTGAATGCTGAAGGATGATGTATGAAGTAAAAAATAGAAAGATATTTTTCAGAATGATAAAAACTAAATTGAATACAGCAATGATTATGATACAATGATATTTCATGGCCAGAGCAGCTTTGTTGTTTTAGCTATTGTTTTCTTTTGCTCACAGCAATATGCACTTAACTTAATAGCAGGGCTAGAAGTGTGGATTTTAGTGCACTTACAGTCTCAAATGACATCTGGAAGTCCAACTCTTATATAAGGCCACACCAATGTAATTTCTTGGTTGACGGATTCGCCTGCTTCATTTTTTTCTTATTTGCAAATAAAAATAAAAATTCAGAATCAACTGCAAAATGCTCATATTTTGCGCTGAACAGTTGAAAACAGTCTTTTTCGTCCTGGTTGTTACAGTTATTCCATCTTTCAATGCAGTGGTATCATTAAAAGTTCAAAATTCATTGTTTAAATTTTGAACCAGCCTGGTGTGTTGACTTCATGGCCCCTATTGTACCATTTTGGGCCATGATAGGATGCCTAGGCCTGTTTTTATTTTTTTAATTTCTTTTTTTACCTGCCCGCTCCATTATTTTACTAGAAAAATCTGTTAACCAAGAAATTAAATTGGTGTGACCTAATATAATAAATTATATAACTTTAAATAATTTGGTTTTCTCTCACACTATTTACTGCAGCACTCGGACCTTGAAATGCTAAAGAAAATTCCAAAGCACACCAAACAAAAGCTGAAGGAAACTTAACTTACCCCACAAAGACATAAAGGCACTGAAAAAGACTGTGCCCTCATTGTCAAACAGGTATGATATCTATAATGGAAAAGAAATGCAAAGCAAGCTGTCACAAAAAGGTACCAAAATTTATATTTGATGTCTCTTGTCCAGAATAGTCTGTGATTATCAGAAATCAAAAAAGTCCTAAATGTAACGTTATTGATATTTGATATAATTCTACTAAAAATATTACATTGTCCATACCTCTGATAACAAATAAATATTTGAAAGACATTTTGATTTTGAAATCATTCTTTGTTAGCTTGGTTAAGGAAAGGTCATAAAAGTCAATATATAATATGTAGTATACACTGTACTTGCAAGGCCAGCAATAATAAATTAATATATTATGCACTTTGTATAAAGATTCACTACATGTATGCAAACTAAGATGCTAATAAAGTTACATCTCATGCAAAGTTACAATGCAATAAACTTCAATCCTACACATTTTACTATGTCACACAAGCAAACATTAGCTGTGAAAAAAGATCCATTTCTTTTTGAAGGATTAACAATATAATATCATATGGCAAATAATACAGGGGATGACAGTGAGCAATATACTTTTCAAGTCTAGGTTAGGCCATGTTAATTTGATTATATGGATGCCCTAAAACTGATGCGCGCGTGCGAATAAAAAAAAAGTTTTGAAAAAAAAAAAAAGTTCTTTTCATTATGAAATCTACGTGGTCATGATGGTTGAGCAAATGGCACAGAATATGGTTTGGCGAATAATCTAGTCTTCAAGTTCATTTCTTTACAATTTCGTCTTTTTCGTTTGTATTTTGGTCTATTCTACG